GGGCATGCAGATATTCTAGATCTCTGATAAAGTGCGTTGGGACATAATGCTAGGAGTTTCCTTATTCTGGGAAGGCACACTGGAACAACCACGTTTTCAAGTTCCTCCTAAAAATTGCTAGCGACGGGGCCTGTCTGATGTCCTTAGGGAGAGAGTTCCAGAGTCGAGGGGCCACCACCGAGAAAGCCCTATCCCTCGTCCCCACCAATCGCGCTTGTGATGCAGGTGGGATCGTGAGCAGGGCCTCTCCAGATGAACGAAGAGATCATGTGGGTTTGTACACAGAGATGCGTTCACGCAGGTAGGCGGGTCCCAAACCGTTTAGGGCTTTGTAGGTAAGCACCTGCACCTTGTATTGGGACCGGAAAATGAATGGCAACCAGTGGAGCTCCTTAAACAAGAGGGTTGACCTCTCCCTGTACGGAGCATCAGTTAAAAACCTGGCCGCCGCCCGTTGGACCAATTGAAATTTCTGGGCCATTTTCAAGAGCAGCCCCACATAGAGCGTATTACAGTAGTCCAATCTGGAAGTGACTAAGACATGGACCACCCTGGCCAGATCCACCTTCCCGAAGTACGGTCGCAGTTGGCACACGAGTCTTAATTGTGTAAAGGCCCTCCCAGCCACCGCCGACGCCTGTTTAAAAGTAGTCTTATACGCTAGAAAATATGGTAGTTTAGATGTACATCAACAGGCAGTCTGAATAAGCTCTGATGCTTTATAAAATGAAATAAAGTAATTACTGTAGTTACTGAGTATTAGATATTTCTCCCAATGGAGGGGCATGTGAACCAGCAGTAGCAGTGCTTAATAACAACAGCAACAACAACAACAACAACAACAACAACAACAACAACAACAACAACAACACTTTATTTATATTTCGCCCTTCTCACCCTGAAGGGACTCAGGGTGGATCACAGTCCACATACACGGCAAATATTTAATGCCTTTTTTTGATGGGACAAAGACAGACAGAACAGAAAGGAGATATTTCTATCAGTTGAGAAAAAGACAAGAGGGAGAGTGAGGGTGCACCAAAGAATCAATGCAGTTTGACTCCACTTGAACTACCAATGTTAGGAAATGCTGAGAGTTGTCATTTTGTGTAGTCCCCCCCCCCCCATGCTTGTATAACATGAACCATGGCAGCTAAAGTGGTGTCAAGTTACAGATCCACAGAGAAAGAGAGCGAGCGAGCATACTTTTTACAATCTAACCTTTTTCCTTCCAACAAGAAAATGCAGTCTAGGTGGATACCAGAGGGCCCTTCCAGACATGTCCTATATCCCAGGATCTGACCCCAGTTTTTGTGTTTATCCCATATTATCTGGCAGTGTAGACTCAAATAATGCAGTTTAAAGCAGAAAACCTGGGATCAGATCCTGGGACATAGGGCCTGCCTGGAAAGGTCCTGAGAGATATAAAAGAAACTTATAGTCTCCGGATCAATTAGTATGGACTTTTCCGCTTCAAGAAAAAATAAAGGATGGAGAGTCAGCAATGTTAGAGAAGAAAGGATAACATGAAGTTCTGCTGTATTCAAACAAGGAAGAACAATGGGTGATAAGAGCACATTGATTGCATTGCTTCTGCAAGTATATATGAATATAAGTTGAGCATCTCACAGCCAGATTCACGAAATCCAAAATACTCCAAAATCCAATATTGTGCAAATGTGACACTTTTGCTGTCTGACATTTCATGCAAAAAAGTTATTTAAAAATTCTGTGTTTTTAATGTTTGCAATATTATGAAACATATATGAATTTCATATTGAGCCATGGGTCCCATCTCCAAGCTATTATATGTATGTATGTGTGTATAATATGAAACATATATGAATTTCATATTGAGACATAAGTCTCGTCTCCAAGATATGTATGTGTGTGTGTAGTATGAAACATATATGAATTTCATATTGAGACATGGGTCCCATCTCCAAAATATGTGTGTGTGCATAGTATGAAACATATATGAATTTCATATTGAGTCATGGGTCCCATCTCCAAGCTATTATATGTATGTATGTGCGTATAATACGAAACATATATGAATTTCATATTGAGACATAGGTCTCATCTCCAAGATATTATTTATTTATTTATTTATTTACTTTATTTGTATACCGCTCTTCTCAGCCCTTAGGCGACTCAGAGCGGTTTACAACAGTTTAGATATACAGAATACAAAATCATTATGCATTTAAAAACAATTACTAGTATTATATTGCATTACATTACAATATTATAAATATTATATGTATATACAATATATTATATTATAACATATTATTAGAATAGCACAGGAGACAAGGTGGAACTGTCCCCTGGCCCCTCTTTCTTCGTGTGTGTGTGTGTGTAGTATGAAACATATATGAATTTCATATTGAGACATGTGCCCCATCTCCAAGCTATTATATGTATGTATGTGTGTATAATACGAAACATATATGAATTTCATATTGAGACATGGGTCCCATCTCCAAGATATGTGTGTGTGTGTGTGTGTGTAGTATGAAACATATATGAATTTCATATTGAAACATAGGTCCCATCTCCAAGATATGTGTGTGTGTGTGTGTGTGTGTGTAGTATGAAACATATATGAATTTCATATTGAGACATAGGTCTCATCTCCAAGATATGTGTGTGTGTGTGTAGTATGAAACATATATGAATTTCATATCGAGACATGGGTCCCATCTCCAAGATATTATACGTGTGTGGTGTGTGTATATAGATAGAGAGAGAGAGAGAGACTGAAACATATATAAATTGCATATTAAGACATGGGTCCCATCTCTAAGATATTATATGCTCACCTCACGCACAACGAAATACATTCCAAAATCTGAAATCTCAAACACTTCTGTTCCCAAGCATTTTCGAGGAGTTATAGTCAATGAAAGACACAAGAAGAAGCAACATCTAGTCATGTACTGATAAAGATGTGTGTGTGCATGCAAGAGGATTCTGGGAACAAGTACTTCTGTTTGCATGCAAGCACATGAAAGGGCAACAGGTGCAAATAGACAAAAAGTATTTGGATGCAAAATCTAGGAAACAGAGTAAGGAAGGAGGAGTAATAGAAGAGAAAAGGAGGAGGTAGAGAAGAAGAAAAGGAGGAGGAGGAGGAGAAAAAGAAAAGGGGGAAGAGAAAGAAAAAGAAAAAGAGAAGAAAAAGAGCAGAAGGAGGAAGAGGAGAAGGAGAAGAAAAGGAGGAGGAAGAGAAAGGGAAAAAAGAAAAGGAGGAAGAGAAGAAGGAGAAGACGAGGAGAAAAAGAAAAGGGGGAAGAGGAGAAGACAAGGAGGAGGAGGAAGAGGAGGAGGAGGAGAAAAAGGAGAAGAAAAAGAGGAAGAGGAAGAAAAAGGGGACAAGAAAAGGAGGAAGAAGGAGAAGATGAGGAGGAGAGGTAAGAGAAGGACGAGGAAGAGAAGAAGGAGAAGGAAAAGAGGAGGAGGAAGAGAAAGGGAAAAAAGAAAAGGAAGAAGAGAAGAATGAGAAGATGAGGAGGAGGAGGAGGAGGAAGAGCAGAAGGAGGAAGAGAAGGAGAGGAAAAATAGAAGATAATGGGAATAAGAAAAGGAGAAAGAGAAGAAGAAAGAGAAGAAGGAGAAGATGAGGAGGAGGAGGAAGAGGAGAAGAAAAAGAAAAGGGGAAAGAGGAGAAGAGAAAGAGGAGGAGGAGGAGAGAAAGAGGAGGAGGAAGAGAAAGGGAAAAAAGAAAAGGAAGAAGGGAAGAAGGAGAAGATGAGGAGGAGGAGAAAAAGAAAAGGGGGAAGAGGAGAAGACAAGGAGGAGGAGGAGGAGGAAGAGAAGAAGGAGAAGAAAAAGAGGAGGAAGAGAAGGGGAAAAAAGAAGGAAGAGAAGGAGAAGACAAGGAGAAGGAGGAAAAGGAGAAGAAAAAGAAAAGGGGGAGGAGGGGGAGACAAAGAGGAGGAAGAGAAGGAGGAGGAGAAAAAGAGGAGGAAGAGAAAGGGAAAAAAGAAAAAGAGGAAGAGAAGGAGAAGAGGAGGAGGAAGAGAAAAAGAAAAGGGGGAAGAGGAGAAGACAAGGAGGAGGAGAGGAGGAAGAGAAGAAGGAGAAGAAAAAGAGGAGGAAGAGAAGGGGAAAAAAGAAAAGGAGGAAGAGAAGGAGAAGTCAAGGAGGAAGAGGAGAAGAATAAAAAAGGGGGAGAGGAGAAGACAAATGAGAAGAAGGAGAAGAAAAGAGGAGGAGGAAGAGAAGGGGAAAAGAGAAAAGAAGAAAGAGAAGGAGAAGAGGAAGAGAAGAAGAGGGGAAGGAGAAGAAAAGAGAGGGAAGGAGGAAAGGAAGAAAGAAGAGAAGGAAAGGAGAGGAAGAGAAAGGGAAAAAAGAAAAGAAGGAAGAGAAGGAGAAGACAAGGAGGAAAAGAAAAAGAAAAGGGGGAAGAGGAGAAGACAAAGGAGGAGAAGGAGAAGAAAAAGAGGAGGAGGAAGAGAAGGGGAAAAAAGAAGAGGAAGAGAAGAAGGAAAAAAGAGGAGGAAGAGAAAGGGGGGAAAGGATGAAGAGAAGGAGAAGACGAAGAGGAGGAAGAGAAAAAGAAAGGGGGGAAGAGGTGAAGACAAAGAGGAGGAGGAGGAGGAGGAGGAAGAGAAGAAAAAGAGGAGGAAAAGAGAAGGAGGAGGAGACAAAGAGGAAGGCACCCCCAGTATGTCAACATTGCTATTTGAAAAGATGCTTCAAGCTGCTGGTCGCCTGAACCACACTGGATAGAAAGCAAAGGAAACCCTTGAGTTGGAATGCACCGTGAGTGCATCTCCACTGTGAAATTAATGCAGTTTGACACTGCTTTTAGCTGCCATGGCTCAATGCTACTGAACCATGAGAGGTGCAGTGTTCCAAGATCTGTAACCTTCTTGGATGTCTCACCAAACTGCAACTCTTCTGATCTCATAGCATTGAGCCACTGATCCAAGGATCTCACATGCAAGGGACAAGCTCTGCGGCCAGGGTGGCCTCCATCCTCGCCTACTCACCTGTCGTCGTTCTGCCAGCCTTGGTCGCCCAGCAACAAATCCCGGAACCTGTACCTGGGGGGAAGCGGGGGCACTTCGCTCTCCAGGTCCACCATCCTCGCTTCCCCAGCGATGGATCCGGAGCAGCCGGGGCAGAAGGGGGAAGCCCTTCTTGCAGGAGGGAGGATCTCCCCTGGCTTTTGCCACTAATCCCTGCTGGGAAAGTTTATGCCGACTCTTCCCTTTTGCCTTGGAGGCAGCAGCCTGAGGCGCACGCGACAGAGCGTCCGAGCGCGCGCTCAAGCTGCGAGCCCCTGCCTGGCACGCGCCGGATGCGCGCGCCGCGCTCGGTAACAAAGGGTCCCCTGCCGTGCCAAAGCAGTCCGCTGGTTGCTCAGCCAATCGGAGAGAGGGAGGGGGAGACCCCAGGCGGGTGACGTCGGCGGGAACCCCGCCCGTGCCGACCAATCGCGTGGCCCTCATTAGCATGCAGAGCAGAGAAGGGGTTCTCTCCTGCTTAAGCAGAGATGACTGGGAGAGGGTTGGGGGTTCTTTTCGTTAGTGAATGGAGGGCAAAGCAGTGGCTGGTATACTAAACCCTGATGCTAAGACTAGAAAAGGTCATCTATCTATCTATCTATCTATCTATCTATCTATCTATCTATCTATCTATCTATCTATACATCCTTCCATCCGTCCGTCCGTCCGTCCGTCCGTCCATCCATCCATCCATCCATCCATCTATCTATCTATCTATCTATATCTTCATCCATCCATCCATCCATCCATCCATCCATCCATCCATTCCATCCATCTATCTATCTATCTATCTATCTATCTATCCTATCCATCCATCCATCCATCCATCCATCCATCCACCCACCCACCCGGTTGTTCATTCATTCAGTCCTCTCCGACTCTTCGTGACCTCATGGACCAGCCCACGCCAGAGCTCCCTGTCGGCCGTCACCACCCCCAGCTCCTTCAAGGTCAGTCCAGTCACTTCAAGGATGCCATCCATCCATCTTGCCCTTGGTCGGCCCCTCTTCCTTCTGCCTTCCACTTTCCCCAGCATAATTGTCTTCTCTAGGCTTTCCTGTCTCCTCATGATGTGGCCAAAGTACTTCAACTTTGTCTCTAGTATCCTTCCCTCCATGAGCAGTCGGGCTTTATTTCCTGGAGGATGGACTGGTTGGATCTTCTCGCAGTCCAAGGCACTCTCAGAACTTTCCTCCAGCACCACAGTTCAAAAGCATCTATCTTCCTTCACTCAGCCTTCCCTAAGGTCCAGCTCTCACATCCGTAGGTTACTACAGGGAGTACCATGGCTTTGACTAGGTGGATCTTCGTTGCCAGTGTGATGTCTCTACTCTTCACTATTTTATCAAGATTGGTCATTGCTCTTCTCCCAAGAAGTAAGCGTCTTCTGATTTCCTGGCTGCAGCCTTTGACTGTGTGGATCATAATAAATTGTGGAAGGTTCTTGGTTGTATTGTTAGAGACCCTATATTGGGTCTTCTTAGGTTCACATCACGGGAGCATGAAAGGAAGGATACAGTTCCAAAAAAAGATCAATAAACAAGGTTTATTTTAGTTTCTTCATGAAGAAGACAGACAGCCTGACAGCATACGCAGATGCTACCCATCAAGTGACTGCCGCACCCACTTTGCTATTTGACCACCGATATATAACCTCAAGTAAACAAGAACATTTTTTTTGTCATGGAAAGTACTCTCTTTCCAGCCCCCTCCCTTGACCTTTTGATGGAAAGTACCTTTTTGTACCTGCAGACTCTGCACTTAACCACAACCTTTGAACTTAACCACAATACAACTTCTGACCTCTACATGTCACATCTTGTTTCTTAAAAACATTTTCTTCCGTGTTGCTCTTTTTCTACAGAGAAAGGGTATGTTTCTCTTTTGCTGCTAATTTCATTCAAAGCCCCTTGCTTAGCATTTGCAAATTTCACTCAAAGACCCTTTCAGTATGGGCATACCAAATCACCTTGTCTCTCTCCTGAGGAATCTGTGTAATGACCAAGTAGCAACAGTAAGAACTGATCATGAAACAACAGAGTGGTTCAAGATTGGGAAAGGCGTACAACGGGGTTGTATACTTTCACCCAACCTATTCAACTTGTATGCAGAACACATCTTGCGATGTGCGGGGCTTGATGAATGCAAGGCTGGGGTGAAAATTGCTGGAAGAAACATTAACAACCTTAGATATGCAGATGATACCACTTTGATGGCTGAAAGTGAGGAGGAGCTGAGGAGCCTTCAAATCAAGATGAAAGAAGCAAGTGCAAAAGTTGGGTTGCAGTTAAACATCAAAAAACCAAGATTATGGCAACCGGACTGATTGATAACTGGCAAATAGAGGGAGAAAATGTGGAGGCAGTGACAGACTTTGTATTTCTAGATAGAACCAATTAGATACCAGATTTTAAGTTGATTTTTTCTCTAATGTGATTAAGTTTATAGTGTTGATTGTTTTGGACATCTGCTACAAAATTGGTGAGAAAGAAAAGCATGATGATACAAAATAATACAGTATATTACAAAATGCTAACAACTTTACATGATCAATCCTTGCTGCAAGAAAGGAAAACTAGGGGGTAAGGAAAAGGATGTGGTAGCACTAGTCATTAGAAGAAGGAAAGGAAGGAGGTTTGATATGCAGCTTCAAAAGAAGCCATTACTAAAACAGAAGATCTCTGATGATGAACCAAAAGGTGATAAGCTATTGTAAAGCTAAAAGCAGAGTTTTGTTTCTTGGGAATACTGAACAATAATTTAGAAGGAAAATTTGGGAGAATGCTACAACGTATGATAGCTGAGATGAAAGGAACCAGTTATCCCATTGCAAAAACTGGTGAAGATCTGTGAATTAGCTGAGATGGACAAATTGATTATGCTAATTAAGGGGGAAAAACTTTTAAGAATGACTACTTCTTCACAACAATGATGGGAGCATTTATCAACTATGTAACAAAATTTGAAAAATGTTCTCTTCCTGATTTGAAATTGTTATTTCTTGTTTAATTGTGCAGTATTTACTTTGCAAATAAGTGTTATATTCCAGAAACTTCGCTTTTGTGGCTGCCACAAATGATATGCAACTGGTTGAGACTCTTTGTTGTTTATTCATTCAGTCACTTCCTACTCTTCGTGACCTCATGGACCAACCCACGCCAGAGCTCCCTGTCAGCCATCACCACCCCCAGCTCCTTCAAGGTCAAGCCGGTCACTTCAAGGATACCATCCATCCATTATGCCCTTGGTTGGCCCCTCTTCCTTTTTCCTTCCATTTTCCCCAGCATAATTATCTTTTCTAAGCTTTTCTGTCTTCTCATTATGTGGCCAAATTACTTCATCTTTGCCTCTAGATATTAATTGTAAAACTATAGCAAAATGTACTGCAAAATAATAAACTTTTTCCAGGTTTTTATGATCGACCAAATTAGGAAATGATGTTTCTAACCCAGGAACAAAAATCATGTTACATAGTGTTACAATAGTAAAGTGTTGTGTTTACCTTATTGCAGTGGTTATCAACCTGTGGGTCCCCAGATGTTTTGGCCTTCAACTCCCAGAAATCCTAACAGCTGGTAAACTGGCTGGGATTTCTGGGAGTTATAGGCTAAAACGCTTGGGGACCCACAGGTTGAGAACCACTGCCTTATTGTTTAAACCGATTAGATTAATAGACAGATAAATTTTATTATGGTCCAGAGACCTTTATTACACTGTACCATACAAGTTATACAGGTAATTAGATTAAGAACATCAAGTGGATATTAATAAATGATAATAACCATCTGGTAGAGAGTGAGAAATGTGTCATTTTTTGTTTTGTTCTGGTTTATGTGTGTGTTTTATCTGTTTCATTTTGTCTTTATTTTTAATAGTTGCTTCATTGTACTAGTGGACACTATGTTGCAGTTTTGGTAGATATATATACACACACGCACACATACACACACACGCCGTCCTCTGCCACATGTTGCTGTGTCCCAGTCTGTATATATGTGTTTTGTGTGTGTATATATGTGTGTTTACGTATATATGTGTGTGTATATGTGTGTGAGTGTATATATGTGTGTGCATGTGTGTGTGTGAAGATGTGTATATATGTGTGTATATATTTGTGTGTTTATATGTGTATATGTATATTGTGTATATGTGTGTGCTTGTCTAAATGCATATTTGTGTTTATATATGTGTGCATGTGTATATTTGTGTGTGCATATGTATGTGTATATTTGTGTGTGCTTGGGTATATATATACACATGTGTATGTATGTGTGCATGTGTGTGTGCGTGAGTACATGAGTGTGTGCGTGTATCTATGTGTGTATATATATGGAGATATATATATATATGGTGTATTTGGGGGGGGGGGTTAAAGTGTATTTTTGTGTTTTTTTAAGTCCAACCTGGACACAGCATATTATTTGAGAACACAGAAATGCTGGACCACTCTCACAACCACCATGTCAGACTACACAGAGAAGCCATTGAAATCCACAAGCATGTGGACAATTTCAACAGAAAGGAGAAAACCATGAAAATGAACAAAATCTGGCTACCAGTATTAAAAAACTTAAAAATTACAACAGCAAAACAACAGAGAGTAAACAATCAGGCACATCAAATCACTCTCAACAAAAGATTCCCCCCAGGCACTTCCAAGCCATTAAATGCTAATCAAGGTGGTCAGTTGAAACATTCACACCTAGTACCAGCAGACAACAGTCCTTTGTCCCACCCTGGTCGTTCCACAGATATATAAACCCATTTTCCTACTTCCAACAGACTTCACTACCTCTGCGGATACTTGCCATAGATGCAGGCGAAACGTCAGGAGAAAATGCCCCTAGAACATGGCCATATAGCCCGGAAAAACGTACAACAACCCAGAACATTACATTTTTATTTATATAGATAATGTGTGTTTTGTTTTGTCTCCTTTTTTAGTAAAAATTACTTTTAAAAGAAATGAACTCATTTAGTGGGGTTACCTCATCAATATCCCTTGTGAAATTGGTACTCAAGGAAAATAAATCTTTGCTGAGGCACACTTGCAGTTTGAAATTCAAATTCGAATTGTTATTATGACATCATTTTATTATTGCTCTCTCCCATTATCCCTATCTCCCCATTCCTCTTTTAAGCAGGAAAATGATGTACTTTGGCTAGACTGGTAGTATAGGCACAGCAATAGAGCAAAGGCACATGTAATTGGGTATGCATGCTCTTAAAGGCATTGGGAGGGAAAATAAACAGATAAGTTGTTTTCTAAGGAAT